GGGGGGGGGGGGTATATACAGGGGCTCACATCAACATATTTATATGATCGAGAAAAGAACGTCTGATGCCAAAATAGATCTTTGCTTCTCACACTATAACTACAGTATTAAAATGTGCACCAATTCAGGCACGATATTGCTCAATTGTTACCCCCATTTAACCAAATGCAATATATTTTATCACTGCGACTTGATCTATCAGCAGCAGTATTAAATAGAGGTCTGTAAAATTTGCAGTTTTATATATGATATACTGTAGCTCTGAGTCACGTGATACCTTCGTACAATGGCTCTCGTTTGTTTTGATGGCTCTCGTTTGTTACTGTTTGTTTGTTTACAATTGATATAAATTTTATTTGAGTTGCCTGTTGCCACACCATGACCAACACGCAAAGTGTCTGATAAATATATTAATCAGCTACAAGCGTGAACACAATGATTCCCAACACCAAATATGCACTGTCAGATTTATAAAATCAAACGCGAACCTATAATATTAGAAGAACAAATCGTCAAATCTCCTGAAAATTCTTCTTAAACTAAAAGAATCGTAGATAATACTTTGATCTTACCTTAAAAAATGACTTTACAAGAAGATATAATTCTTAAAAATCGCAATATTTGCTAAATACTTGCCAACTTGTAAGTTTCGCCCTCTTGCTGAACTTGGCAAGTCCCGAAGTAACCTGAGTATCAGGCCGTACTTTTAGGGCACAGGCACGCCTGATCGTGGGCGAAGGGGAGAAAAGTACGGCCTGACACAAAAGTGGCATTTTGCCTGGTTGTTCAGTCCAGAATCTGGACTGAGCGCTGATTGGCCGATTAGACAAACGATTTTTAAATCTGTCATTTGATTGGCTGGTGCTAAGGGACGGACCATTTGATTTTTGATGGGGGGGTGGGTAGAATCCCAAAAAAAATATCGGGCAAGCAATTCGAACTTAAAAAAAATATCATGCAAGAATAAACGGACGAAAAAAAATATCGAGCAAGACTTTCGAGTGGTAATCCTTATTCGCCATTCGGTGCCGTTTCCACGTGTAGCCCACGGCCGTACGTATGTAGCAACCGGGGGGGGAGGGCTGCAGGGTCCAGGAAATGGCATTTCAGAGACTCTAAATTTAAAAATTTCCTCGGGCCTTCGGCCCTCGCTTTCAGCCCCCCAATCAAAAAGAGCTTCCGGCCTACGGCCTAGACTTGCTCCAAGTCTCTCTTTGTGGATATCTATATATTGTACATCTATATTGTACGTTATGTAACGTACAATATAGATGTACAATATATAGTGTCCACAAAGAGAGACTTGGAGCAAGTCTACCTACGGCCCTGTAGCCTAAATAATGGGAGGACCAGTATAATTCCAAAAATGGCCGTTCTTTATTTCTTTACTCCGACTCCTATGATGAACATGTACGTAAAAAACTAGGAAAACTACGATTAAATCACGGCCGTAGAAACTAAAATAGGTGAAATTTTTATGGGACACTATCAAAGGCGAGGATATAAGAGCGAGAGATTGAAATTGAGTAGGAATAGCGTACAGGGGTATGCGTTTGGACCTAACAGTTTTCTTCAGCAGGGTTTTTTAAGAGGGGGGGTGTAGATATAATTTGAAGAGGAGAAGGAAGGAGAGTTTATAGGAGTTTAGAGCCGGAAAACAAATTATTACGAAATAACTGAAAATAACCAATTACTCTGGCAGTGAAAGGACGTAACTACTATACATGTTATTAGTGAAGTTATCCTACCAAAGGTCTTGTTGTTTGCGGAACATTCCAACACTACGCACTTTATTGTTCATCGTTCGTATTGGTGAAGTAAAGCAAATTTGCAGGTCCTTCATTTAAGGGTTAACTTGCCTAATGGTATAGTGAGTTTGAATGATTGTGATGGTAAGGGTGATAATGTGACTGTTGGTGATTGCATCCAAATATGGTGTTAGTGGTGCAGGAGCTTTTAAGACAGGGATAGGGGCGTTTGGCAATTAGTGATACATGAGGGATAAAAATAATGATAACACCGTGCAGGGTTTGATTTTTGTTTAATAAAAATATATGAATATACAATAATAACTAAAACATGTACATATATAACAAAACCAAAACAGAGATTAGTAAATGAATGATACGATATGACCAATAGATAGCTATAGCTAGTTCTGGTGTGGATTTTGCTACTGTACGTAGAGGATCCAAGTTCACATTATTTTCCGAACTCCTAAACTGTCCTTTCTTCTCCTCTGCAAATTCTATAGACCTCCCTTTAAAAAACCCTGCTGAAGAAGACTGTTAGAACGAAACGTGTGTAGCGTTGCCTTTCCTACTCAATTTCAGTCTCTCACTCTTATATCCTCACCTTTTATGGAGCCCCATAAAAATTTCACCTAATTTAATTTCTATACTATAAGCGTAGTTTCCCTAGTTTTTTTACGTACATGTTCATCATAGGAGTCGGAGTAAAGAAATGAAGAAAAACCATTTTTTGAATACTGGTCCTCTCATTAATTAGGCTATACACAATGCCTTACACCAATAGTTGTCCAATTACCTATTATATACCAAAAAATGTAAAAACAAAAACCTAAAAAATGTATATACATGCATACAAAAAAATATCGTGCAAGTCCTCTGACTGACAAAAAAAAATCGAACAGTGTCAGGAGGCGGAAAAAAAATATCGAGCAAACTGAAAATCTACCCACCCCCCCATCAAAAATCAAATGGTCCGTCCCTAATTAGATTATACTATTGTTGTTGATATATTTTATAACGATCACAATTCACAATTACAGTTATAGCCGGCCCACTAAACGGCTGAATTTAAATTAAAACTGCAGTAAAATTAGAAAATAATCGCAAATTAGCGAAATATATTGCAAATGTAGCTTATATTAAATCGTCATCAGATTGCACTATCGACTGACGTATAGTTATAAAGTATACTTTATAATTATACGTCAGTTTGTTGATAAATACGGCAAGCGCCATGTAAAGCTCATTGTAGTCACTGAAACCTCTGCGGAGGAGAGAGCAATCGGGTGGCGATTTAATATAAGCTACATTTGCAATATATTTCGCTAATTTGTGATTATTTTTGTTAATTTTATAAGTTCATTGCAGTTTTAATTTAAATTCAGCCGTTTAGTGGGCTGCCTATGCTATAATTAGATTGTTGTTGTCGTTGTGTAAAATTTAAATTTCTCCTGCGACATTTTGATTGGATACTAAATATAAACTTTGCTGTGGGCGGAAAGCGATCAGGTTAAGTTTTGTGTCAGGCTCTATTTGTAAAATAGAGCCTGATACTCAGGTTAATATTCATACTACATGATGGGCATATGGCCAAACAAACACCTTGTACTTTTTTGCTCAAATTTACGCACGCATGATTTTGTATACATAATATAGATTTAAATCTAGCAATTCAAATCCAAAACTCATGGGGTCATGCATGACATCTA